CCCCCGTGCTGCTCCACAGGCCCTGTTTGACTTCACTGGGAACAGCAAACTGGAGCTGAGCTTCAAAGCCGGAGACGTGATCTTCCTCCTCAGTCGGGTCAACAAAGACTGGCTGGAGGTGAGGCTGGAGGCTGGATGGGGGTGACGATGGAGGGGAGGCTGGAGGCTGGGATAGGGGTGAGGTTGGGGGCTAGGATGGGGGTGACGATGGAGGTGAGGATGGAGGCTAGGATGGAGGTGAGGCTGAAGGTGAGGATGGAGGCTAGAATGGAGGTGAGGCTGGAGGCTGGGATGGGGGTGAGGTTGGGGGCTAGGATGAGGGTGATGATGGAGGTGAGGATGGAGGCTAGGATGGAGGTGAGGCTGAAGGTGAGAATGGAGGCTAGGATAGAGGTGAGGCTGGAGGTGAGGCTGGAGGCTGGGATGGGGGTGAGGTTGGGGGCTAGGATGGGGGTGACGATGGAGGTGAGGATGGAGGCTAGGATGGAGGTGAGGATGGAGGTGAGAATGGAGGCTAGGATAGAGGTGAGGCTGGAGGTGAGGCTGAAGGTGAGGCTGGAAGGCAGATGGAGGCTAGGAGGTGAGGATGTGGTCAGGTTGGAGGTCAGGTTGGAGCTGAAGTCACGGAGCTGTGCCGGGCAGAGGAAGGGCTGGAGGAAGGTGCAGGGAGTCCCAGGGAAGAGATGCCATCTGATGAGATCCCTGAGGTCTGGAGGTTTGGGGCCGTGAGAACTCACCTGGGGAGGCAGGTGCGTGCTGGGAGCAGAACATTCTGGAATCCCTAAACCTGCCGCTGGTTCCGGGTGAAGGAACGGGTGGCCCTGGGCAGGTGAGGGGTACTGACCTCGGCGTCTTGGTCTTGGAGGCTTCCTCAGCAGTGGCCCCGCTGACCCTGGGCCTCATGGGAGCTGTCCCTGGTGCATCCCTGGCTTCCCCACCAGATGCCCATCACCCACCCCCGGTCCACATCTTCTCCCGGGGACAGAGTCACTGGGGGTTGAGAGGCGCTGGCCTCTGACGTGGTATTTCTGGGACAGGTTGAGGCGGGGCCAGCCCCAGGGGTCCTGGCACCATGGAGGAAGGAGCCTGGTGTCCAGACACTGCCGGGCAGCACGTGGTGACCATCTGGGGGAAGCGGCAGTTTCCCTTTACCCCCAGCCGAGGCTCCTCCCCGGCTC